AATGTAATTAATCTTCATGTTCCTCTCTCTCAAATATTCAGCTCTTACAACAGAGAACAATATAAAACACATTACATACAATCAGCTTTCTATATATTTTTTTCTCTTTGTAAACTGTCTCTAAACACTCTGATGTCTTGCTCAAGATATTCATGCACATCCTCTTTACTTCACATCTTTCTGTGCAGAAAAGCATCACCCCCCTACTAATGCTGACTTTGTACTAATTGGCAGAGGCTTTGGGTTCAGTCTTACAGTTTTCAAGTAACTGCTCTCAGACACATGGTTAGTGTCATCCCATGTTTTTTTTTACAGTATGTGCAGTATAACTAACATTTTTGGCCCTGTCTTTTAGCTTGGATTGTCTTTCTGACATTTCATGCAGAGGTTTACTCTTTGCTTAGGKGTGGAACAAGTAATTTCAGTGATTTACTTCAAGATTTTAAATATTTCTTTTTTTGTATTCCCCTATAGTAAAGATTTACATGCTAAATTTAGGAAGCAGCAGCATTATGCTGCTTGAGACACCTGGTTAATAACAAGAAGGTTGTGATGCACTGAGGCCATTCCTGAAATAAGTCCTCTCTCCTGGACAGACAGCAGGGAGTAACAACGTAAGTGAACCATTCAATCTACCTCAACTGAAGTGTTCATTCAAGTTCCAGGACTGTCAGCAGTCACTGTGTTTGCATTTGTAGTCTGCTTTCTTCTCAGGCTKGTCTGGCATATTTGCTTTTACATTAAAAGAAGGTCCATGTTTTGCTAAGTTACTTTTTCAACTCACTGAGAGATTAAAAAAGAGAAAGCGTTGGGGTTGGGTTTTTTTTTCTGTTCTCTTTTGGTTTAGGCATTTTTGRTCATTATGGGAAAAGTGAAGCTATGAATCCATGCAATCAGTATTTTAAAATGTGACTCTACATGCAAATTTGTGGGAAGTTTTCCAGAGCATCACGATGCTTTTCATTTTGGTAAAACTATTTTCTCCTTTGAAACAACTACTGACTTAGGACAGAGAAAGTGGCCAAGGAAGACAATGATTGGAYCAAAATTCTGTGAAGATGCTTTGGATAAGGAGTTCGTAAAATAGTGCTGTTTTCCTCATTGATTTGCTTGTCCCAAAAAAATAGCTATTGTTCTGACTATCCCCAATATCCATACTCTCTGAATATTAGTTATTCCCCTCAAGTTTCTATAACAGCATTGATTTGCATTTTAGTTTCTCATTCCACCCAAGAACCGTGTCGTGTTCTAGAAAAAGATATCTTACTTTTTCTGTGGTGTTACAACGTCCACAGGAATAAGTAACATACTGAAATCTTTAAATCACCTGAAGACGTGCTTTTTAGGACCTGTTTTAGCCTGGGCTGAAGTGGCTTCACGAGTTCATGTTGAGTCACGTTGAGTCACAATCCTACAGCACACCCATGCAATGTGTGCAATGCACCCATGGCGAGATGTGACTCAGGGCAGGGCCATGGCACAAATACCTGATGGGGCTGGGCTAAGACAAGGCACATCCACACTCCGCTGTTTGAATCATTGCACTACAGCTTCCATCCAGCTTTGGAGGCAGTAAGAAGATTCTGGCACTTTGCACAGGTACAAGTTACTGGTGTTAAAGCAAGGGGATGGGACACAGGTACATGCAGCAGAAATTAATGTTTCTACTAAATCAACATGTCAAAACTCTATTGAAAGACAAAAGTAAGACCTGTATTACGTAAGAAGGCTGTTAAGATGATCTCATCTAACAATGAAATCTGCAAATCATGGTGTCAGTTCTAATGGTTTTTAGCTGTGGAGGATCTCAACAAAAAACTGTGTATGAACATGTGATGCATATGTCTGCCTATGCATAAGCACACACAATATAACAAAAGTTTAAAAGAACAGTATTATACAAAACAATAACAGAATGGGCTATCAGCGTATATTAGTAATGTCTAATTAATATATGCTGGAAAATAATAARAATGGCCCTTACCTAGCAAATGACCTTGTAACTTTCCCCTACATTTTTCAGACTTGGCCCTAATGTTGTTACACATCTGCCTCTGGAGAAACCTGTAACAACAAATATGTGTACCAAGTGTTTACTGTAAATATTGGGTACTTTTATAAAACTAATTTCTCGTGGAGTAAGAAGATATTCAGATCCCATTCAGAATCAACAAACAGCTGAAAGGTAGAAGGAGACAAAGAGGTAAAGCTGATGGTCAACTGATGGTCATGAGAGAGACAGGTTACTAATTACCARTGCATTCTTAGTACCATTTCTGTTTGGACCTCCTGTGCTGTTCAAAGCTGTTATTGAACACATGGGAAAAGATGTGGCAAAGTTTGTGTGATCCCATTTTAAATTACACAGTAAAAGGCCTGATGATACTGAAAAGTGCAAAGTAGTGTACTGGGGGAAAGACGGGGGAGAGTAATCCTAATTATCTGTAACAGAACAATTAATTACTACCAGAAGAACTGTTTTCTGTTCCCTTGAAAACAGTTTTTGAAACCACTGTGTACAGGGCTTAGAACTTTTTGAAAAGCCAAGTAAAATGCTGGGAATTATAATTATTGGGAGTGAGAACAAATCAGAAAATATCTTTATGTCTTTTGTATATACTATACCCATAATGCTGAGTGATACCAACAGTTGTGCTAATTCAATCCCAGAAAATAACACAGAATTGTTTGAAAAATTATAAAGAGAAACAAGAAGGATCAGCAACRGGGAGATGCATTCATCTTATATGARATTAAAAAATTAGGGAATGTGATGGAGAAAGGAGAAGATAGAATAATTGCTCCAACAAGGGCCAGGAGCCAGGACAGAAACCAATAGTTTTCATTGATTGCATTGTTTTCCAAATGCCTGCTCTTAGTCCCTGCTGGAGGCAAAATGYCCAGTTAAATTGATGGTTTGATCAGATTCAGTTGTCTGTGGTGTTATCAGCTATGTTTTTTTCATCATGTATAATTCCTGTGTTTGGTTGCCTTCATGTGCATCGGGGGGACAGTAACAATAAAGTGAGATGCCAAGGAARGTCAAGTCAGAACAGTCTGTTTTAAGGCAGAATCTCATGAGTTTGAAGGAGCGCTCTTAYGCAGCTAAAATGCATAATGAATTATGAGTCTGATGATGACCTTCACCAGTTATATGAAATATGTATGAGCAATATTTCCATGTCTGTCCTGTGAACTTGTAAAGGACAATTTTGCATTTCTTTCATTTTAAAAACAGGAATTTTTTCAATTCGTGGAAATAGAATGATGGGAAATCACCATCTCCATAATTATGATGTTTCCTGCTCACTGCTCCCTGTAAAGACATAATCCCTCACTTAGTTCTGATGCTGCCCAGCTAATTTTTGTACTTTTGCAGTACCTGTTACCTTAATTGTCATGGTAACAGATGGTTTTGATTTCTTATTAACCTAAAATTATTTTAACATCACATCACTGGGAAGGGCCTTGAAAGAAATAGTAACAAAAGTGTACCATGTTTCAATAATCATCTGATGTCTGGTGTCAAATACTTGGATATAACACTTTCTTTTCAGAAGACTGAATTACAAAAAAATATATTGAACTTACTCAAAAATGTGTTAGAAGAAAATAAGATAAGGAATTACAGATTTTTGTTCACCTTTTTCAGATGTATAGTTAATGCTTCAATTAGTTAATGCTATAAATTAGGGTCTATGATTCAAAACTGAAAAGAATTTTTAACATAGATTTCAGCATAATACCATTCATCTGAAAAGACACAAACTATTACTTGATCAAACAAATTATCCACTGTAACAATTATATTATGCAAAGCAAAGGCCTACATTATTTGTACAAATGTAATGATGTTTTTTGATGATTAAGAACTCTAGAGTAAGTGCAACTGAAAGCATGTTGTGCACAATAAAACCAGAAGATAAGCACTTTCATTCTATACTGCTAAATAACTGGAATCTTCAACATATTTGCAAACATACTAATTAGATTCACTTTTAAAAGCTTTATCTCATATCTACCTTTAAAAACTACCTTTGTTTACTGTAGTTAGCCTTTTGTCAGCCAATATAACAAATATCTTAGGAAAAGCAGTATGGACATATGAAATCATACGCACAGAGCATCAGTGCTCTTCAGAAACGACATTTTCCTGGGATTTTTCACTCTCTGTTGATTCAAACCAGATAGATTTAAATTTCACTTATTTCATTATAGACTTAGGAATGTAGCCCTTTTACACTTGTTTTTCTAACTACCAAGGTTTGTTTTTGGCAAAGAGCACCCCTTAGTGATGTAAAATACATCTAATCTGTTCCAGAAAACATTTTGGTATGCTATCATTTGCTGAATATACAGCTCCTTGACCTGAAACCAGTATTGTTTGTTTGGGGTTTTTTTATCAACCAAAGATTCAGTAATTGATAGATAAATAGTGATTATTCTATGGAAAAGTTAATATTTTCATGAAAACAGCATCCAAAAATTCCCTTGGAAATGCAATGGACTATAATCCCCGGAGTGATAAAAATCTGATCTTCTTGGCATCCTTTCTACTATGTGAATCAATTACTCTAGCTGCAGGTTTGAGCCCTAGCAGAGCTTGCTGCGGGGGTTTGAGGTGCCATCACCTCTTTATTCCTCCTGACACCTGGSATGGGAGAATGTAATAAGGGACCAGCCGCAACTGGCACAGCTCAGAGTCTGAGAAAGAATCTCAGCCTCACCTTCAGCAACTAGTGCATGAAAATGTGAATTGCAAGGGCTGGAAATAGTTTCTTATATCAGCTCTGCTTTACGGGCAGTCACACCTGATGAGGAGGCGGAAGAGACAGTCGGAAACGGCAATGCCTTCAGCTGTGCTAATGAGAATTTTTGGGAGAGCCTTGGTGCAAGCCTTGACTCTGCCTGGGAGGTTGGCGGCTGCTTCAATGCTTTGTAGGAATTAATGCAGCTCTCTGCTTAAATGGCTCAGTCCTWGAGAGAGGACGTAAACGCTTCTGTGAGGTGACGACGAAGCAAGAGGGACAAGAGTACTAGTGAATGCCATGATGCAAGACAGAAAAAAAAATTAATTGTATTTTTTCTGCAGCGTAGCGTGAAAGGACGCGGGTGCTGAATGGAAACACAGATACACTGCAACACAACTTTATCGAAGGTAAATTGTGTTAATCTAGCTTGTTCATTTTCTTTGGAAAGAGAACCGGTTTTCTAGGAGAAAATAAATGTTGGGGGCTGCTAAGGAATGTGGCATGATGTCACCCGGGGAAGCCAGCGGAGGTGGGGGAGTATGGGGCATGGTACGGCGACGGAAAGTGACTGAAGCAACACGATGAATTACCGAAAGCTGACCCACCGGCAGAGGGGAGCTGCTGAAGGGCTGGCTTTGGAAAGGGTTTCACCCA